CCCCAGCTTCTTTCTGGGAAAGGCAGGGTCCACATCCACCTTTGTTGCTAATCATAAGGGAATCAGTGGGTGGCCCAGTGTGATGGAGTTGAACGCATGAGCTCCTGAGCAGAAATAAATGCTTAGTAGACAAGGTGGCACTTTGGGGCAAGGGGCTGGGCTGGGTGTGTAGGGCTCAGAGAACAGAACCCAAAGCCTCCAAATTGGGTTCTCTGCCTCCAGCCTCTCGAGCATCAGAAGCCCACAGAAAATACCCGAGGGGCTTGGGTGAGGGGTCCCCTAGGCTCTTAGCTCCTGAGTCTGTCACTCCAGTGACACTAGTGACACTAGTGATATTTAGTTCAGGGAGGCCAGCTGGCTGCCTGAACTGGGGATGGGGGCTGCTGTTGCTGGGGGAGATGTTATGCCTGACTCACAGGGCAAAGGGCACTTGCTGTCCCCTCAGAGATACCACTCCCCTCTACTCATGACATGGAAAAAGTTTGAAGATGACACCCAGAGTCACCAGAGGGGTTCAAGTTCACTCTTAGCCCTTGGCTGGGCTATGCCCACCCTAAAGGCAAAAGGTAGTGGCAGAGTAGCCCACCCTAAAGGCAAAAGGTAGTGGCAGAGAGAGCCAGGTCAGTTTCCTTCAAGGGAAATCCCATATTTGTCCAGCAGGGGGCACCCAAGGGCTCTCTCTGGACAGGGACAGTAGGGACAGTGGAAGCCAGAGGCTGCTGGAGCCTGTTATGTCCCCAGTTCCTGTCTCATGAGCTGATGTTTATTGAACACCTACCAGGTATCAGGCACAGCCTGGAGGAAGAGACATAAATATAAGCAACCAAATAAAAGAAGCTAACTGCCATTGTGGTGCAGAGCACGGCTCCGCGACTGTCCTCTATCACTGAGTTGTAATGACCATAGGAGGTAGAGACTCATTTTTTCCCATTTAAACTTTCTTTTAAAGATTAATTTTTAGACTGGGCATGGTGGCACATGCCTTTAATCCCAGCACTCGGGAGGCAGAGGTAGGCAGATCTCTATGAGTTCAAGGCCAGCCGGGTCTGGAGCCAGAGGGAGGCACTAGGGGCTGAAGATGAACACCCGGGGCCGTGGCTTTAGGGCTCAAGCAACTGGCCATGCCTCAGGCACATAGAGCGGGTGTTGGGAGTTCCCAGATATTTTGATTAAGGGGATCACAGGATGTCAAATGGATTTCCTCTTAAGATTTCTTGATGGTGGTCTTTGTTTAGCAACTTTGTAATGGAAAAAGACCCTCTTTTCTAATTGATTTGCCTTGCAAATCTGATTTCGTGAAGGGAAGGAAAGGGAAGTTCCTCTGGTTACCACTAGGTGGCAGCATTGTCGAGGCCGTCCTCAACCTGGTCCTAACTTGGATTCAGCCTCACAGTGGGATCTGAATCCAAAGCCCAGCCTGTGTAGATCCCCCGAGGCTGTGCTTTGGAGCTCAACCCAAGGAACTCCAAGAAACTTGTCTGTTTTTTGGTTTTGTTTTGAGACAGGGGCTCATGTAGCCTAGGCTGGCCTCAAACTCCCTAAGCAGCTGAGGCTGATTTTGAACTCCTGATCCTCCTTCCTCCACCTTCCAAGTGCTGGGATCACAGGCATGTACCGCCGTGTCTGGCTTCTGTGCTGCTGGGGTTGACCCCAGGGCTTCATGCACGCTAGCCCAGCACTCTGTCAGCTGAGTTGCATCTGATGTTTGGGGTCTCTCAAGAGTGGGATGGGTTTGGGGAGCCTCATGAATCTTCCTCCTTCTGTACCCCAGTAGAGCTCTGAGCCTTCCCTGAGGTCCCTCTCCTGAAGTGAGCACAGAATTTGCAGGCAGATGTGATCTAATCTCCTTGTGATTAATGACTTTGCTATCCCCTCCTTCCCCCAAATTGAACCTAATCTTGTGTTGACTCTGCTGAGCAGGGAGAATAATGTGGGAGATTAAGACGAGGTAGTGTTCATTCTCCTCCAACAAAAGCCAATTAATTGTCGGTAGGATTATCTCCCTGAGTCAAAACTGCTGCCAGGGTGCTTCCCATAGGGTCTGTGCTGATGCAGCAGGAAAGATTGCAGAGCAATACAAGGTAGAACTGCCCAGAGGAAGAGAGGGCATGATGTAGAACTAGCCACACTGGTAAGTCATGGAGGAACCAGCTCCCAGAACACATTTGCTTCCTGAAGTCCAGTCCACCTGATCTGGTCCATCTCGGGTCAATTAGGACCCTCCTGCATTTTGGGGTCACCTTCAACCAGTGAATTCAGGGATCACAGCCCCCTTTCCTCCCTGCTTTCCACAGCTCCCTGCCTCTCCCAGGCATCAAGGAGCCTCACTGTGTCCAGGGTCAAGAGCACATATTTAGGGCATGATAGGGCAGGTCTGCAATCTCAGCTACTGGGGAAGCGGAGGCAGGAGGATCAGAAGTTCAAGGCCAGCCTGGGCTACAGAATGAACTAGGAAGACTCAATCTCAACATAAAAAAATAAAAAGAGGCTGTGTGTGTGTTTCTGTGTCTGTGGTGGCATATGCTTTTAATCGTAGCCCTTGGGGGGCAGAGGCAGGTGGATCGCTGTGAGTTTGAGGCCAGCCTGGTCTACATAGTGAGTTCCGGACCAGCCAGGGAGGGCTACAAAGTGAGGCCTAGGGATGATGTAGGTCAGTGGCAGAGCACTTGTCCAGCGTGTAGGAGGCTTTGCAGTCCTCAGTACAGTTAAAAAAAAGTGAAGATTTGCAGACAAACACTCCCCCTCCTCCCCTTTGCCTCTTCTTCTTTACAAAAACTACAGCTGGTAGGTTCTGGAGAGATGGCTCAGTGATTAAGTGTGTGTACTGCGCTTGTAGAGGACCTGAGTTCAGTTCCCAGCACCCATGTCAGGTGGCTCACAATTGCTAGCAGACTCGAACACCTCTGACCTCCATGGGCACCTGAACTCACATGCACATACCCACACACAGGCACCCACACGTTCACATAATTAAAAATAATAAAGTGTCAATAAAGTAATATTAAAGTATGCAACCTGGAGTCCCTGGGTGCTATTCTGCCTGAGGTCCTAGCCTTTCAGAGACTGACACTGCAGGAGGCAAATGGAAGAGAGGGGGCGGGGAGGTGGAAGGAGAGGCAGGGACGCTCCTGGATCTCCTACACCATCTGAGTTGCCATCCTCTCCCTACATAGTCCTCCCTGGAGCCCCCTTCCCCCCGAGCTGCAGCCTGCAGAGCCACAGGGGTCCAAGGGGCCCTTGGACCTTGACATACACTTCCTGTGGATGGATGAAGTGCTCATGTGTGATTTATGGGGGGCTGTCGGGGGGGGAATGGGGGGCATGAGAGGCTATGGCAGCCCTTCCCCCTTCTCTTACACATGGTCCATGATGTCGGTGAGAAATGGGTTTCTCCTTGCAGTTGGAAGCCCATTTCCCAGTCCAGAGTCCTAACACAGGGCTTGCTTCACTGACTTGGATCCATGAGCCTTTGCCATTTCCTGAACACAGAACAAGGGTCCCCAAAGAGCAGTTAAACAGTCCAGGGTGTCACAGCCATGTGCCTGGTGATCTTAATCCTTTCAGTCACCATCCACCTGTGATCTTAATCCTTTCAGTAAACATCATTCCATTCTTGAGGCAGAAGTAAACTGAGGCTCACAGAGGGGCAGCCGCATCCTGTGTCACACAGCCAACAGTTGGGGTGCTGGACTCGCACTGTGGATTCCAGTCCAGAGTGTTGGGTGGAACCGTGGGTTTTTCTGTGTGCACTTAGGCCTGGCCTGGGGGATAGATCTGCGGCTAATAGGTGGATGC